CTTCACCTGCTCCCCCCACCGACCAAACTGTGCAGCTCTGCAACTGCATCCTGGCCCATCCTCACCCTTCTGCCCCCAACCTTCACCTCCTTGTACCCCTAATATGTTTTTCCCAATAAAAAATATTTTTAAAAAGGAATAAAGTATTACAGCAACTTTGATTTACAAATTTTTTCAGTACTCTCACATGGCTATGGGTTCGTTATGTCGTTATAGATATTGTGTTACTGCCGTTAAGTTGCTCTGACTCATCGTGACCCCATGTATGAACAGTTAGCACTGCTTTAGAAACCTGCTTTTCATAATGTTTAGAAAGCTTCCTGACCCTGCACTATTCCACGATCATTTGCAAACCAGCCTATTGTCATTCAAATGTTATCAATTGCTAATATTCAGAATTCTCCAGATCTTTCTTCATCTTTGTTCAATATCGTTACAACAAACAAAGGTCCACTTCAGATAGGTGGCAAGCATGCCTGAGGTACAGTGGCCTAGGAATGAATCCAGGTCTCTAGAATAAAAGGTGAGGAGGAAAAAAGCTGTGGCTGACTCTGAGAAGAATGGGAATCCCAGAACATTTGATTGTGCTAATGCAAAAACTATACTTGAACCAATAGGCAGTCATCAGAACAGAGCTGGGAGACACTGGATGGTTCAAAATCAAGAAAGGGGTCCGTCAGGGATATATTTTGTCTTCATATCTTTTCAATCTGTATGCAGAACAGATCATCCGAGATGCTGAGCTGTACGAGGAGGAATATGGCATCAGGATTGGTGGGAGGGTCACCAACAACCTGCGTTATGCAGATTATACAACCCTGCTTGCTGAAACGGAGGGTACCTAAAGTGCTTGCTGCAGAAGGTCAAGGACTGCAGTCTTCAATATGGATTGAAGCTCAATATCAAGAAAACAAAGATTCTCACCACTGGGCCAATTGGCAGCATCACTATGGATGGTGAAGAGATTGAGATAGTTACCAGTTTTAGTTTACTTGGCTCCACAATCAACACTCTTGGTAACAGCAGCCAGGAAATCAAGAGACAAATTGCATTGAGTAAGTCAGCTGTGAGGGACCTCTCAAGAGTACTGAAGAGCAACGATGTCAGGCTGGAGGCTAAGGTGCACCTGATCTTCGCAATTACATGCTAGAGTTGGACAGTGAATAGGGATGATAGAAAGATAATTGATGCCTTTTGAGCTGTGGTGCTGAAGAAAAGTGTTGAATATACCATGGACTGCTTGGAGAACAAACAGGTTTGTCCTGGAGAAGGTAAATCTGGAATGCTCCGTGGAGTCAAGGATTCTGAAGCTTTGTCTGACATACTTTGGGCATGTTGCAAGGAGGGACTGGTCCTTGGAGAGGGACATCATGTTTGGTAGTGTGGAGGGGCAGCAAAGGAGAGGAAGACCTTCGATGAGATGAATCGATTCTGTTACTGGAGTGGTGGGAATTAGTGTGTTTGGGATGGCTAGGTTGGCACAGGATAGAACGACGTTTAGAGCTCTTGTACATAGGGTTGTTATGAGTCATAAGTGAATCGATGGCACATAACAACAACAACAGAATAAAAGGTGAGAAATCTAACAATAAGTCATCTGTTTATGGATAATTTTTCAATATTGATGTTGTTGTTATGTGCAAAGATTACAGATAGCAATTAGAAAGTATTTAGAACCTATATTATTGTTGTTATGTGCTGTCAAGTTGGAATGAAATGACTCATAGCTGACCTTCCAGAGGGTTCATAGAGGCTGTAAATAGCATGAGAAGAGATTGCTGCTCATCTTGCTCCCTGGGAACAGCCAGTGAATTCAAATCACCTGCCCTTCTAGTTGATCTTGGTTGGGAAGCTCTGAGTTAGCAATACAACTCCTTACCCACAATGCCGCGAGAACTCTCTCACAGTCAACTGCTAGGAACCAAATACAACTCCAATAAACTCACTGCAGTGAATTCAGAACAACCACCAGAGTTCCCTCTACAATCATCTCCAGCTGAAGTCGTTTCCATTTCAGTTGATTGCTTCTCCATTCTTCTAGAAAAGAAATAATGACAATTTGAACCAGAGTGGAAGTGATGAGAAGTGATCAAATACGGATATCTTTAAAGGTAGAGTGAATTTCCTGATGGCTTAGAAATAGCATATGTGAGTGAGACGTCAAAAGAACTCTTGGATTTTTGGCATAAAGAATTATAAGACTAGGATATCTAAATCAATTCCTGTTCTAATTTAACGTTTTTTATTATAATGGGGAAATATTTTAAAGGAAATTTTATATCTGTTAATCATCATACTAAATTAAATATATATCCAATGCCTTAGAAGTTGTTTGTTTGTCAGGTTGGTTTTTTTTCCCCAAAATGAAGATATAAAATATTCAGCGTTCCCAGGAAAACTTATTTCCATAAAATGGAAAATGGTTATATTGGTTCTTCCATAACTGTTTGGATATTTTTATTACTACACTTGTGGGAAATTTTATATAGTTCTTTCCTTCTGTGTTCCTCTGCCATAATGATTAAAAATTTAAATAAGTTGCCAGTAAGCCTGCTTGGCAGCTGTTGTGTCTATTAAGCAGAGTGCATCTTCAGAGCATTCCATTCACTGCTGAGTGGGAAGAAAGCTAAAGAAAGCTAGCCTAAATTCCGAGGGGGTGAGAAGGTTAAGCATAATTCTAGTGAGATTTAAGACATAGTGGATTTATTGCACATTGATAATATTATAATAGGCAAAGACCTGAAGTAAAATTTTAACTTTATGATTTAAAGTTCCTTGGCTATGGAGAATCTGAGTTCAGATGATGGCTGATATACTACAGCCTTTGTGCCTCTCAAATTTCCGCAGTCACCACGAGCAACTTTGAAAAGGGAACCACCATTGTCTCAATAACCAATCTAAAATAGCTAGATGTTATAAGACTAAGTAATTGTTAATAGTTTGGATGGAATATAAATAAGATCATATGGTCCCTTTAGCACTTCTTTTTATAACAATTAAAAGAATAAGAAATGCTGTTCCACTCTCAGAGGGGCATTTTAATTGTGCATCAGAATTGTGTAAACAGTGTTCTATATTTGAGCCCCTCAGAGAAACAGGTAGTATACAACTACTATAATAACATATAATTATAAAATTTCTTTTTCATTATTATTAATTTTAATGAAAGTTTAGAGACTTGGATATCCATTCATTGTTGCACTTTTTTCCCTGCCCAACCGCCCCCCGCCCAGTTCACTCTTCTTTTTGGAAAAAAAAATCTATGAAACTAGTAATTTTATTTACTGTAATAGTAAAAAAAGCATAAATCCTCACAACTGTACTAATAAGCAGCATTACAATAAAAGGAGAAAAGATAGATGTTTTCAAGGTTTTGCTTGAGTCCACAGAAGTATTAGTCAAGAAATTAAATGACATAGTTCATTAAGCAAATCTGCTACAGAGGACCTCTTTTAAGTAATAAGCAGCCAAAACACTAAGAGTTACTTCCACAGAGTTGAACGAGATGGAGGAGAACTGATGCAGGGCGTTGGTATTGAAAATTGTCATCATAATGCATAGCTATGTTTACTGCTGCTTTGTTCACAATACCAAAGAGTTGGAAACAACCCAAGTGTCCAGCAAAAAATAAATGGAGAGGGAAGTTGTGGCATATTCACACAGTGGAATATTATGCAGCACTGAAAAACAAAGAGCTCATGAAATATACAAAATGGGTGACCATGGAGGACATTATGCTGAGTGAAATATCTCAGTCACAAAAAGACAAATACTGCACAATGCTATTGTTATAAAACGGGACTGACAGAGTGATTGGGGGGAATCTAAGAAAAGGGAATAAATAATGTACACAGTATTGAAATGGACAATGGAGAGAACTGTATAAAAGGAAAGATGATTATGTGACAAGAGCCCAGAATAAGAGCTGCATGGTAAACTGGTCTGTGGGAGGGGAGGGACTGCATAACAATGAAAGAACTTTTTTTCTAAAGAAAAAATGAACTGGGGGGAGGGGGACAATGAGGATACAACACTGAATGAATGTAAATCCAAGTTATTTATAAACTAACAATAAAATCTCAATAAATTTTAAACAAGAAAAAAAGTAATAAGCAGCAAGGATGTCACTTTGAGGACTAAGGTGACCCAAGCCATTCTCTTATGCACTGGAAAATGCGTAACAAAAGCCAAAAAAGAACTAATGTTTTTGAATCACAATAATGGCAAAGACTATTGAAAACATGATGGCTTGTAAAAAGAACAAACACATCTTTCTTAGCAACTCGGTGGTAATGCCCCCTCGAAATGAGGATAGCAAGACTTCATCTCACATACTTTAGTCATAGTATCAAGAGGAGCCAGTTTTCTGAGAAGAAATCGTGCTCGGTAAAGAGATACGTCTCAACAAGGTGGACTGGCACAGTGCCTGCAACACTGGGTTTAAGCACAGTAGCCATTGTGAGGATGGCACCAAAAAGTGCTTTGTCCTATTTGTACATAAAAGTCACTGTGACTCATAATTGCTCAATAACACTTTGTAACAGTACTTAGGCTCTATAATAGTAAAGCATCTATTTATAAAAAGTAGGGTTTGGCTCTCTTTCACCAAGGACCTGCCAACATGGGCCGCTTTCGCACCAAAACCGTGAAGAAGGCGGCCGGGGTTATCATTGAGAAATACTACACGCGCCTGGGTAATGATTTCCACACCAACAAGCGCGTGTGCGAGGAGATCGCCATTATTCACAGCAAGAAACTCCGGAACAAGATAGCAGGCTATGTCATACATCTGATGAAGCGGATTCAGAGAGAGCCTGTGAGGGGCATCTCCATTAAGCTGCAGGAGGAGGAGAGAGAAAGGAGAGATAATTATGTAACAGAGGTTTCAGCCCTGGATCAGGAGATCATTTAAGTAGATCCTGATACTAAGGAAATGCTGAAACTCTTGGACTTTGGCAGTCTGTCCAACCTCCAGGTCACTCAGCCCACAGTTGAGATGAATTTCAAAACACCACGTGGAGCCGTTTGAGTCTGTTTGCTGTGCTGTAATATTTTCAATAAATTTGGGCACACCAGCAAAAAAAAAAAAAAAGAAAAAAAAAGTAGGGTTTGGCAGAGAGATTAAGAATCATTATACTTTTTTTTAAAAAATATGGGCTCCTGGGCCCTACTCTCAAGTATTCTGATGTCTATAAGACTTCACTGTCATTAGGTGCCATCGAGTCAAATACAACAAATAGTGACCCTATGAACAACAGATCTGAACCGTGTTCCTATCCTGTGTCATCCTCATCATTTCTGACAAACTTTAGCCCACTACTACAGTCATGGTTTCAATCCATCTCGTTGATGGTCGTCTTCCTCTTTGGCCAATCCTTCATCTTTTAAAGCATGATGTCCCTTTCCAAGGATTAGCCTCTCCTAACAATATGCCCAAAGTAACTGAGACAAAGCTTTGTTTACATTGCCTTCAAGGAGCACTCTGGTACTTTTTATCCAAGACATACCTGCTTTTTCTTTTGACAAAACACTTCTCTAACAGCAAAGTTCAAAGGCATCACTTCTGTCTGACTTATTCAATGTCCAGCTCTCAGATGCATAACAAGTGATTGGAAATGCTATGGCCTGAATCAGGAGTACTGTAATCTTTGAATTGACATTATTACTCCTCAGTAATTTGGACAGGTCTCTGACTACAGACTTTCCCAGGCAATACCCAAGGATATTGATTATGGATCCAAGTAAGTCTAAATCATTGACAATTTCAATCTTTTCTCCATCTATCATGATGTTGTCTATAATTCCACTGGTGAGAATTTTTGTTTTCTTGACCTTGAGATGTAATCCATATTGAAGGCTGTAATCTTTGATCTGTTGCAGCAAGCACAAGTCCTCTTCATTTTCAGTTGTCAAGTTTTTGTCATATGCATAACATAGGTTGTTGATGAGTCTTCCTCTGATCCCAATGCCACATAGACCAGCTTCTTAAATGATTAGCTCAGCATACAGATTGAGTATTGAATAGGTGTTTAACCCGAATAGATATTTCTTAATTTTGAACTGTGCAATGTTTTCTTGCTCTTTTTAGGCAACAGCTTCTTTGCCTAAGTACAGGTTTTGAGTGACCACAATTAAGTGTTTGGAATTCCCATTCTTCTCAATGTTAGCCATAAATTGTTATGATCCATATAATCAAATGTTTTGCATAATCAATAAAGAACAAACAGATATTCTTCTGGTATTATCTGCTTTTAGCCAGGATTCATCTGACATTAGCAGTGATATCCCTTATGCCATGGTCTCTTCTAAAGCCAGCTTGAACTTGCATTTATCTGTATACTGTTCTAGCCATCTTTGGATAATTTTCAGCAATATTTTGCTTGCTTGTGATAGTAATAATATTGTTCAATAATTTCCACATTCTTTTAGATAATCTTTCTTGGGAGTGGAAACAAATAAGGATCCCTTCTAGTCAGCTGGCCAGAAAGCTGTCCTCCAAATTTGTGGCATAGACTGGTGAGTACATCGCAAACTGCATCTGTTAGTTCAAACATGTCAGTTGGTATCCCATCGATTCCTGGAGCCTTGTTTTTTGCCAATGTATTCAGTACAGCTTGAACTTCTTCCTTCCTTATCGTTGGCTCTTGATCATATGGTACTTGTGGAAATATTTCATTGTTGACCAATTCTCTTTGATACAGTGATTCTGTGTATTCACTCCATCTTCTTTTGATACCTTCTTTTTCTGCCGGTCACATTCCTCAACCAGAAGGCTCTCTCAGGGCCCTATCCTGCAGTGCTGCCACAGGTCACAGCTGGACCTTGCATTATATATATATAATTGAAATTATGCCCAAGGAATCTGGCTTTCTCTGGTGGCCTACTGGCAAGGGCTACTCTGCAACCCCAAAGGCACATGGTTCAAATCTATCAGCTGCTCTGTGGGGGAAGGATGGGTAATCTTCTCCTGTGTGATTAACTGCCTCTGATAATCTGCCAGAGGGCCAGCTTGGATTTGTTCTGATTTGATGGTACATTACAATGACAATGAAAGTGTAAGAACCAGTGATCAAAGTTCTGTACTTTTGATAGATGTCTTATGCCCACCAGCACCACTTGTTAAATGATGACAATTCATGGTCACTCCATGTGTCTCAGAGTAAAACTGTTCTCCATAGGATTTTCAATGGTGAGTAAAATTCTTGACCAGCAGTCCTTTCTGGCAAGGCACCTTTGGGTGAATTCGAGCCTCTAACATTCTAGTTGTCTGTCTGTGCTTCATTGACTATGCAAAGGCTTTTGACTGTGTGGATCACAACAATCTATGGCTAACTCTGAGAAGAATAGGAATCCCAGAACATTTGATTGTGCTAATGCAAAACCTATACTTGGACCAAGAGGCAGTCATCAGAACAGAGCTGGGAGACACTGGATGGTTCAAAATCAAGAAAGGGGTCCGTCAGGGATATATTTTGTCTCCATACCTTTTCAATCTGTATGCAGAACAGGTCATCTGAGATGCTGAACTGTATGAGGAGGAATGTGGCATCAGGATTGGTGGAAGAATCGTCAACAACATGTGTTATGCAGATGACACAACCCTGCTCGCTGAAACAGAGGAGGACCTGAAGCGCTTGCTGCAGAAGGTCAAGGACTCCAGTCTTCAATATGGATTGAAGCTCAATATGAAGAAAACAAAGATTCTCACCACTGGGCCAATTGGCAGCATCACTATGGATGGTGAAGAGATTGAGATAGTTAACAGTTTTTGTTTACTTAGTTCCACAGTCAACACTCTTGGTAACAGCAGCCAGGAAATCAGGAGAAGAATTGCATTGGGAAAGTCAGCTGTGAAGGACCTCTCAAGAGTACTGAAGTGCAGCGATGTCAGGCTGGTGACTAAGGTGCGCCTGATCTGGGCTATAGTCTTTGTAATTACGTGCTATGTATTGGAGAGTTGGACAGTGAATAGGTATGATAGAAAGATAATTGATGCCTTTGAGTTGTGGTGCTGGAGAAGATTGTTGAATATACCATGGACTGCTAGGAGAACAAACAGGTTTGTCCTGGAGAGGGTGAAGCCAGAATGTTCCCTGGAGTCAAGGATTCTGAAGCTTTGTCTGACATACTTTGGGCATGTTGCAAGGAGGGACTGGTCCTTGGAGAGGGACATTATGTTTGGGAGAGTAGAGGGACAGTGCAGGAGAGGAAGACCTTCGATGAGATGGATCAATTCTGTGAGTGGTGGGAATGAATGTGTTTGAGACAGGGAGGTTGGCACAGGATAGAACAGCATTTAGGGCTCTTGTACATAGGGTCACTATGAGTCGCAAACGACTCAATGGCCCATAACAAAAACAACATTCTAGTTAGCAGCTTATATGTGAACTATTTGCACCACCCATATTTCCTAGCCAATGGCTTAGATTCACAGAAGTTTGAGAAAGAGGATTGCCTTAGATATCATTGTTCCTTCAGTGCCTAGCACACAGAGAATTTTCTACTTTGAGTTTAATCGTATTGACGTGGGAACCAGATGTAAAAAGACAAGTCACTAGAAAAACTCAGTGTCCTTTGTAAAGTAATTGGCTCTTGGCCAAAGACATTTTGTTAAGTAGGTGAGTGATTTATTTCCTGCCTTAATAGTCACCCTTGGAAAGAACCTGGACTTGAGAGTCGGAAAACCTGGTATAAGTGTTGACTTTCCCCTTGACTGTATGTAAATCATGTACTTAACCTCTTCTGTTTTCTAGTCTGTAAAACCACACAGGATAGCTGCAAGGCTCCAAGGAGGAAATGCACGCTAGGTGCTCACTACTTGTTGTTCACTGTGATCAGGTTGCTCTCCTACTCCTGGTAACTTCATACACAAACAAATAGAACACTGCTCAGACTTGCACCATCTCTGTGATAGCTTGCCAATCAGGCACCACTGGGATCCTCAGAATTTTCATTGACTGGTTTTGTGAAGCAGATCACCCAGACTTTCTTGTTGGATTTGCAAGAGTGAAGGTACTAAATGAATGTAAATTGCTTAAACTACATTTCCATTTTCTTGAACATCATGGTTACAGCACAATAGTGAGAGACAAGATCCTTAACCATGGATATCCTGCCAAAGTGGTATAGTGGCAATCTGCCTTTGAATTATTACAGTAATTATCTCAGTGAAGCACTGATATGATTAGTCTATCTATGCTATGTCTACTGCATTGCTGTTGTGTGCTGGTGAGTCATTTTTTACTCCAAGTGAGCCTAGAGAATAGAATTTAAGTGCACTATAAGGTTTCTGAGGCTGTAATGTTTGCAGAAGCAAATAAACTGCTTTTTCTTTCATGGAGCCACTGAATAATTTGGTTAAATCACCCACGCTAACTCATTACCATGGAATTAGAACCAACTCATAACTGACCCTCCAGGGAGTTTTCTGAGGCTGTAAATCATACAGGAAGAGGTTGTGTATCTTTCTTTCATGGAACCTCTGGTGGATTGAAACTTCTAGAGAGACACCACATTTGAATTGAAAGCACAGTTCCCTACAGAAAATACTGTGAGCGCTCCCTTAGAGGGGTTTAGTTAAGCTAGCAGAAAAGCAATTAATCAATGTACTGCCAAGATTCCTTATGTCAATCAAGGGATTTGGTAATAAATAGCTACAATGTTCAACTAACCAACGATTTCTAGATAAGCCATTAATTCTGTTGTTCCTTTCTTTCTTAGTAATATGGACTTCAGTTTTTAGCTAATATTTAGTTAATAAATACTTCATTTTCCACTCTAAACACTAAGTATGATGATGTAATGAAGAATTGGCCA